GCAGGGGCTGGGTGCGGGGTGCTGGCCCTCGATCCGCTCGGCTGTCCTGGAAGGAGGAGAGAGCCGTCGGCACGCTGAACGCACGGGGCACGAAGCCCCCGCGTCCACCCGGGACCGTCTCACATCCACGGAGACACGCTCTGCTGAGCCTTAGCGGGTAAAACTCTTCCTGCCCAACGCTCGAACACGCTCCCCGGTACGGGCTCCTTCCCGGGGGGTCTCTCCCCCCACGCTGGGGTCTTTACCGGGGCGCCCCGCCGCAGCACGTGGCACAGACCCACAGCCCACGGCTCCGCTCCCCAAACCTCTGCTCCCGAGGGATTTCACGGAGCAGCAAATTGGTCGGTAGGAGCTAATCCCAGAGCCAGGCAGACAGGAATGCTGGCGGCCGAGGAGGCTGGGAGTGAGTCAGCAGTCCTCCCGCTCCCGGCGAGCGGCCGGGACGCACCACGCCGAGGAGCCGGGGCAGCGGGGAAGGGACGGCAGGAGAGCGAGGAGCCGGCAGCGAGCAGTTCCAGGCCTGGACACGGCATCTCCCCGGCTGCTGCATAAACAACGGCTCCGGTTGCCTCCCAGCCGGAAGGAGGGGCTGGAAACAAACTCCCCAGCTCTGCCTTAAACTTCCTCAGCCGGGGTTCGGGGCTTTTCCTCCCATTTTTGCTTTCTTTTCCACACTGGACAGGGGTGGGACTGCCTCCCCCTCCGGGATAAAGCATGGCCGCAGGCAGCTGGTGCCCACAGTCCCTGCCTGCAGACCGGGCTGCCCGCTCAAATCCGGGCGTCAGCGGGATCAAGCACAGCACCCGGAACGACACGGCTCCTCGAAGCCCGAGGGGGTGGGCGCTGGGAGGGGGCACTGGGAGGAGAGACAAAACCTGAGGGTCACTGGGCAGCCGGAGTTTTGGCTTCCGCGCTTCACACTCCCCCCCCAGAAAGCGGGAGAAAGCAGGATGTGTGTTTTCCTTCAGGAGCTAATCTCACTCTCCCTTGGAACGCTCCAGTCCCAAGGTTGCCGGGCTGCAGCAGAGATTTATCTGCGCCGGCGGAGCCCGGCAGGCGAGAGGACGAGGATCGCAGAGACCAGAACCAACAAGCGGAAAGTTGCTTGTTGCCAGTTCCCCTTCCCCAACCGTCTGAGGACGTAAGCAGGGCTAAAGCCAGACAAACCCTGCAGGAAACGCCGGCTAACCGCAGAGCTCGCACGGCACAGACCCCGACCCAGCCAGCCCCGACCCCTCCAGCAGAAGGGGGATCGCCCTCGCCTCCCCCGAGGCACGGCAAAGCTCTGGGAACACAAACTCATCGGCACGGCACTGGCCCGGGCACGGGGAATGCTGCCTCCCTCGTCCGGCACCGCTCGGCAGAGGGACGGCTCGGCAGCGGCCTCGGCAGCGCCACGAGCACGGCTCGGCTCGGCACGACCCGCCGGGAAGCAGCCGGCACCGCCCGGGCTGCCGGCCTCCTGCCACAAACCAAACTTGCTTTGGTTTGATCCAGAAAGGCACAGGGGAGAGCTCACGCAGGATGAGGCCGGGCACGGATGAAGCTCAGGATGGCTCCAGCCGAGCGTTACTCTCGCAGGCTGAAGATTTTACAAGTATTTTAACTATTCTGAGCAGAAATCTCCGTCCCGGCAGTGACGCAGCCTGTGACGAGGCCAGGGCAGAGAGCAGGACCCGCTCCAGCAGCGGGGCACGATGCTCACCTCAGCTCCAGCCGCCCTCAAACCCCAAAGCACGAGGGGGAGCCCGGCTGCACCTCCCAGCCCGGCAGCTCAGCCCTCGCCCTTCCTCTGCCAGCGAGACCAGCTCCCGCAAACCAGCTCTGAAGAAACCACCGCTGGAATCCGCTTTGGGAACAGATCCGATTCGACCCCAACTCCGCTCTCGCTCTCCTTCTCCAGCTCCCAGCCCGGCCCTGAGCACTGCAGCGCGGCTCCCTCCTTCCTCGGGGTGCCGAAAGCTGCTCTTCTCACCCCCCCGCACTGCGCCCTGGTGCTGTTTCGGCAGCAGCCCGGGCTCCGGGCGGATGCGGAGGTGGGGGGCACTCGCACAGCCCCCGGCTGCAGCCCCGTGACATGAGGCAGCAGCTCACCCCACGGGGACTCGGCTCCACCACACCGTTAGACCTCCACCACCCGCCCGCCGGGGATTTACCACACCAAATCCCGTCATCCCACTCCGCAGCTTCAGCCAGAGCCGCACGGTGAGCGCCCAGGACAGATCCTGTGCTTATTTACGAGGGAGGAGCCGCAGGACCCGTAACCACAGGCGAAGGGCTCAAGGGGGACAGTCCTGACGCAGGTGAGTGGCGAGACCCCGACGCAGACGAGGACCGGACCAGCCAGGACCCCCGACTGCAGGGACCGGCAGCGGCTTCACCCGGTGCCCAGCCTCACGCCGCACCTCTCTGCTGGCAGCCCCAGTTGCCTTTTCCAGGACCTCACGAGCCACACGGCCTGTGGATGCCGGCCGCCTACGGACTCCTGGCAGTGCGTGGGTCTCCTCATCCTCCTCCTGCAGACAGCGAGGTGGGAGCTGCTCAGGTGGGTGCTCTGGGGCGAGCTCTGCATGGAACAAGCTCCTGGACGAAGCCATTGCCATCCCACGAAGCCATCGGCTGCTGGGAGCACTCTGGGGTTTGCTGGAGAAATGTCCGCGAGGTTTCGGCTGCTCTCACCGGAGCCACCAACATCTGGGGTTGGGTGGCTCCATCCTCGCACCCCCTCCCTCAGCCGGACCCCAAGGCAACACCCCGGTACGGCCGGCGCTGGAAGGAGCCACTCCAGGACACACACACCAAAAGCACAGTGGCCATGAAATCCCGCCCGCACCAGGGCTCCTCCAAGGCATTAAGGAACATACAACCACCCAAATTCAGCTTCCCTCTGATGAACCTGAGCTTTGGGGCATCAGAAGATCCACAGACGCCCGAAACAACCAGATATTCCCACTACAACATCACCGCACCAGGTGAAAGGTGGCCATACGTCAATCTATAGAAGTCTGCAGCTATTTTTGGCGCGCTTTCGTGTCATCAGCAATTACTGTTAGCTGCTGGTTGAGCAAGATTTACAGTGCAAATCGGCAAGCGCCAACAACCGCGAGCGGGGCTACAAAACCTGCCGGGATGAATCCGCCGAGCCCCGGGGCTGAGCGTGCCGAGGGCTGCCCCGGCTGAACCGGGAGAAGGGGGCATCCCTCGCAGGGGAGGGTTGCAACAGCCCGTCTGGGCTAACTGCTTTCCTGTTGCCAGCGATACTTTTCCTATGTCCCAATCGCGCTCGAGCAGGCGCCCCAAGGCGCGCGGGGGCTCGGCCTGCCGCAGATTCGCCCTGCCGGTGCCGGAGGGGTCCCGGTTACGGAGGGAGCCCAGGCTGTGCCGCACAGGCAGGCAGCCCGTGCCGAGGGAGCTCCAGCTCGTGGAGCAAACCTGAGCCGGTACACGCCACCGAGCATCCTACAAAGTCATCCCACAGCTCTCATCGTTAGGCATCCCTCCTTAATGAAATATTGAGATCTCACAACTCTGGCATCTCTGATGGCTCGGTGACGTGATGGTGAGCTCCCGTGGAGACCCGGCTTTCCCGATGCGTAACACCTGACAGTCACGGCGCCCGTACTCCAGCCACTGCGCGGCAGAGCCGGTTCACAGCCCCGGCCAAGGGACAGGCTCCCCCCACGCGTCACCCAAGATAACGCCGACACCACTCAAGGCCACCCCGGTGAAGCTTCCCAGCCTCCCAGGAGGGATCCAGGCTCCGCTCTGGCACTGAACCGCCGCTCGCCGCAGGTGCCCGGCACAAACAGCCAGTCCTGCCCCGACTCGAGGGATCCGCAGCTGCGGGGGGCCGGCGCTGCCGCAGGAGAAGCCCTTTGGAAGAGGAGCCCGGTGAGCGGCTTCTCAGAGAGAAGAGCATTTATTGATCTGCTCTTCCACGACAGCGCTGGGTCCCTCCATCTTGCACCGATTTGGGCAGCTCCCACCCTGTGCCAGCA